AAGCCCGGGGGGGGGAGGTTGGAGGGAGCGGAAATCCGGCCCCTGACGCCCCCCCCGGGCTAAAAAAAAAAACCCCAGAAAAAAAAAAAAAAAAAAAAAAAAAAAAAATTTATATGAATTTCAACACGTATTTGTAATTACTGATTATGGTAGTCAATTATTACATTTGTACAGCAATAAACTTTTGTATTTATTTGATTGCCACAACAATACTGGGAGAGGTTAGGGCAAGTATTGTTATTGCCAATTTGCAAATAAATAAATGGAAATCCACCCAGTGAACTGATTTGACTGTTATCACTCAAGTATCATCACTGAGTTCAAAAGCTCAGTACTCTGTGTCTAGGTTTAGGGTTCATTTTTACCTGCCACCATTGTAAACTACATTTACTGAAAAAACAGGCTTTCCAAGTATTGTCAGCCTGCCACATATTTGTATTGCTTATTTGTATTATTAATCCTGTATAAGTTTATTTATCATTAGAACTTTGGTAGGAAGTTGTTTGTTTGTTTATTTTAAGACAGTGTCTCACTCTGTCACCCAGGCTGGAGTGCAGTGGCGCAATCTTGGCTCACTGCAACCTTCACCTCCCGAGTTCAAGCGATTCTCCTGTCTCAGCCCCCTGAGTAGCTGGGATTACAGGTGTGCACTACCACGCCCAGCTAATTTTTGTATTTTTAGTAGAGACGGGGTTTCCCCCTGTTGGTCAGGCTGTTCTGGAACTCCGGACCTCAGGTAATCCACCCTCCTCGGCCTCCCAAACTGCTGAGATTACAGGTGTGAGCCACCGCACCCTGTTGGTAGGAAGTTTTATAAGCTGAAGTACTTAAAATCAAGGTTTGTTTTATATTTCTGTCTTAAGCAAATTAAACATTGCCTTCTGCCTCTACCATCTCATTTACACTAATTAGTGGCTTAGCATTATAGCCAAAAGAACTTTAACCCAGATAATCATGATTTCTGTTTAGTACCCTGTAGACAGATGCATTGCTGAGAGAGGTTTTCTCCTCCCTTTTGGAGTCCCTGATGCTGTTGAACCTCAGCCACCTCACAGGAAGTAATACCCTAGGGAGGGAATTATACAGCCCCTCATCTTCCTACCAACCCAGGGCAGAATGGCAAGAAAGAGAAGGGGACAGGTGGTAGACCAGACCCTGTATTCTCAAGGTAACTGCAACTGTTGCTTTCATTTTCAAGGACAGTGATTGCTTAAAGTGTTCTGAAGCCATCATTAGGAGAAGAGGCGTTCATCACAGATTGGCTTATATTCATTAAGAATAGCATCATCAGGAGTACAACTTGAGACATAAATATATACTTCTGCAAAACAATGAAATGTTCCAATTGATGGCAAAATCTTGCTAACCTGAAACTGTTTTGTAAAAAAAAAAGAAAAAAAAAAGTGTATTCCATTTTATTTCATTGCTCATCCTGGCTTTGTCTTCCAAGTTAACTTTAAGAAGACCTTTAGGAGTTTTTTTCAGAGTCCTGAAACAACCTGAACTAACATGACTGTTATTTTCTTAGTTTTAACCTTTTCAAAGATATTGGTTGTGAACTGGAAGTGAGATTTTGAAAATGTCTCTTTGCAGGGCTGCATTTTTCTGTGCTACTCTACTCAGAGTTGGGAATCTCAGGTTCTTCTTTTCTTTGTCACCACTATAGCTACAAAAGATAGGCGCAATATCTGTGTAATAAAATCATTTATACTTTTTTGTGTGTTTTTACATTATGTCATATACCCATTTTGTCAAATATTTAACCAAAAAATATTCAAAGGTAATATTTGCAAAAAAAAATATGCTCAATTTTTCATGCATACCATTCCCAACCAGTTTTCGCATTCATATATTGGTCACAGCATTGAACCAGGCATTAAAATGTCCCAAACTCTCAAATCTATTATTTATACTACACTGTTCTTCCTTAAGTCAGCCTTTACCATCTGCTTATTAATTACATGGCAATCCTTTTAGTTACTGATTATTATTTTATATCTATTATTTTAAGACCATATTTACTATAAATGTGAAACATGAAATTTTTATAAACATGAAAAGTTCTTTGGAAAATAGTGTGTCAAAATTTTGCAATCCCTTTTTATGTGATTTGTATCTTCCTGTTATAATCCAATTCATATTTGAAGCCAGGCGCCGTGGCTCATGCCAGTAATCTCAGCACTCTGGGAGGCCAAAGCTGGCAGATCATTTGAGGCCGGGAGTTGGAGACCAGCCTGGCCAACATAGCGCAACCCCATTTCTCCTAAAAATACAAAAACACTAGCCAGGCGTGGTAGCATACGTCTGTGGTCCCAGCTACTTGGGAGGCTGAGCCATGAGAATCGCTTTAACATGAGAGGCAGAGGTTGCAGTGAGCCAAGATCAACCACTGCACTCCAGCCTAAGCGGCAGAGTGAGGCTGTCTCAAAAAAATAAATGAAATGGTGACTGGCTGCTGAATGGAGAATGAATGTGAGCAAATACTTTTCATAAAGAGCAATTTGCAATGTGTGAAGGCTCTAAAATACATACCCGTTAATCCAGTAATTATTAGTTTATCCTAAGGAAATAATCAGTACTACATTCAAAAATATTTATGTAAAAATATTTACTACACTATCATTGAGAATACCAAAAAATTGAAAACAGCCATTTTAATAGGGTAATAGGTAAACAAATAACAGCATATCCTTATAGCAGAAGATTATGCTATTATATTAAAAGTGAAATCACAGAAAAATATTATAAAGTGTGATACCAAATATTTCAATGTTTCTATTCACAGAAAAAAAAGAAATATTGGAAGTAAATACACCAAAAAATTCAAAATAGATATGTTTAAATTATGAGATAGAAATAATTTTTTTTGTTTTATATATGTTCTAAATGTTGTAAACTAATCATGTATTTCTTTTATAAAGGAATAAATGTCCTTGTACATTTTAATTCTATTTTCTATTTCATTCATCAGTGCCAAATGTATGATTTTAATTTGTACCTATAAAATTTTTCTCATGCTAAAAAATATTATATTTTGTGTGTCATACCTGTTTGTAAAACTAAGACATGTTATAAAATATTTTCAACTGGCACAGTACTTGTGCATGTTTCTAAAAAGTAATGTATTTCTCTATGTTTTTATCCTTTTGTAGGCATTTGCCTGGTGGCCTGATTTATTGGCTGAACATGCAGAGAAATTTTGGGCTTTATTTACAGTAGATATGGACACTGCACTAGAGGCTCAACCACAAGACTCCTGGGATAGTTTTCCTCTTTTCCAACTGCTCAATAATTTCCTCCGAAATGACAGTGAGCATTTGCGTTTTCTTGAGTATGTGAAATGGGGAGGGGTAGGAGAACGTTGAATGTGAATGTATTTTTACTGTGCCCTAGCACCAGCCTGACAAGAGTTCGCATGGGTAACATTTAGGTTTGCTCAGCTTGCCCGACTATGTTAGGCCAGAGACTAAGGGAGCCCAGGGACACTCCCACACTCCACTGGGCTCTGAAGGTCCTCTCATTCCCATCCTCCTGCCTTCATTGAAGTCTGGTAACCTAGGCATCCTTCTTTATGAACCTTATTGTACTTTATGAATCTGAAAATCTTTAAAGGCTGACATTTCAAAAGTACTTGAGAACATTTACATCTCTGAAAGACACCTTAATTCATTATTGTAAAAATCATGTTATGTTAAGGCTCCTACTTAAATCCATTGTGGTAATATTGCTGGCTTGAGGGTGGGTTCATTTCTACAGATGATAGGCAGATATTGCTATGTGGTATGACTTGCTCATTCAACATTTAGAAATTAAAGAGAATGTAAAATCTCTCTATTGAGACTTTTATTCTCAATTTAATAATAACTTTTACATTTATTCTGGTAGATGGTCTTCTAGCAAACAATACAAACTTTGTTTTTTATCAAGATTTTAACATACAGATTCCTAGGCCTTTCGTTGTAATGCTTTTTAAGTTTCACTTAGTCTCAAGTTTGGTTACCACTGACAACCTTTGTTTCAACACTTGAAGTGACCGTGGGGGTCACTGATTTCCTACTGAATAAAATTCTTGTCATGATGCACCAAGGTGAACTCTGCCTCCTCCTAACCTCTGATTCTGACCCATTCTCTTTGATCAATGCAACAGTTGTCTTCTATCATGTATTTTCTTTTGCCACTCTTTATTCCCATATAAAACAACTCTGTCTTACAAGAGGGTTTTCATGCCCATTGCCATTCTCATCACCGTACCCTGAATAGACCTCACTCCATTTCTCAGTGTTGTTCTGGAGTGTGGTGCTCAGAAGAACACAGTGCTCACCATGTGACCTGAATAACCAGACCCAAATGAGAGGTGCCTTGCTTCCTTCTTCCCTGTCTTCCTGCAGCCCATGTCTGCTCTGACTCTCCAAGGAACTTCTTCACATTGTTAATACATTTAGAACTTGTTTAAAATTATACTTTATTTAGAACATTTTATATGTTAAAACTGCATGTGCTTTTGCTGCTCTCTTCCCAGAAGGCCACTGCTATATCTTTCTGGTTGTAAACCTAAATTCATGTTTTTATAGTTGTGTTTGTTTAAAGAAAAAATCTTTATTGGTTTTGTTCATGGCTCTAGTCCAGTCTTTCTTAACTTCCTTTGGTTGTTGTTCACCCCTTTGAGTCTATGATAAAACTGGGGGGATGGGGAAATCACATAGATATGAAATTGTTTGTAATATTGTACTTTCCATGGACATCCTAAATTTAGGACACCAGATTAAAAACCTCTATTCTAGTAAGAAGGCATCATGTCAGAGTAATTAGCAACATGAGCTTTGGTGCCAGACAGATTCATGTCTCTCTGTCACTTACCACTTGACCTTTGACAATAGCTTAACCTCTCCAAACTCTAGGTGCTGTATCTATAAAAGAAGGAAAATAATAGCACCAACAGGGTCGTTGTCAATGAGCATTAAATAAGATGATAACTCACATATAATAGATGATAAATAAATATTGTAGATTTTGTTAGTCTTATTCATTCTCCTATCCAATTTCATTTCATTTCCAAAGATGCTATTATAAGCTTACAATTTGTACCTTAGATTCAGCCATAAGGCCTGCTCTCAGTGGTGGCTAATAAATCCACATGCAATTATCCATATGTGAATCATTCATTCTGCAAATTATCCTAAGCCAGGTATTTTGTTTTGTTTTGTTTGAGACAGAGCTTGCTCCATCACCCAGGCTGGAGTGCAGTGGCACAATCTTGGCTCACTGCAACTTCCACCTCCCAGGTTCAAGCGATTCTCATGCTTCAGCTTCTCAAGTAACTGGGATTACAGGCATGCACCACCACGCCCAGCTAATTTTTGTATTTTTACTAGAGACAGGGTTCCACCATGTTGGCCAGGCTGGTCCCAAAACCCTGACCTCAAGTGATCCACCCATCTCAGCCTCCCAAAGTGCTGGGATTACAGGTGTGAGCCACCACACCTGGCCCTCAGTCAGTTTTTAAGTTCCAATTTGGTTCCCTCCTGCCACCTAGCCAATGTGGAATGACTGTCTTCCTTTCCCAATCTTATATCATCATTCATTTTCTGCTATGAAATTACAGTCAGGTTTTCAATATTATCTTAAGACAAATGTATAACAATAAACCTCCTACCAAAAATAAGTATATAAATATATATATTAGGCATTAAGCTCCCTAAATGATAATAAGTAAGTAGGATGTTTTTCTTTTGTTTTGTTTTTTGTTTTTGAGATGGGAGTTTCTTGGGTTTTGTTTGTTTGTTTGTTTTTGAGACAGAGTCTCGCTCTGTCTTCCAGGCTGCAGTGCAGTGGCGCGATCTCGGCTCACTGTAAGCTCCACCTGCCAGGTTCACGCCATTCTCCTGTCTCAGCCTCCCAAGTAGTTGGGACCACAGGCACCTGCCACCACGCCTGGCTAATTTTTTTGCATCTTTAGTAGAGACAGGGTTTCACTGTGCTAGCCAGGATGGTCTCGTTCTCCTGACCTTGTGATCCACCCACCTCGGCCTCCCAAAGTGCTGGGATTATAGGTATGAGCCATCGCGCCTGGCCATATGTAAGATATTTTTTAACACTGTTTTCTCCATTTGAATGAAAACTCAAGAATCAAACATACTTAGATGTATGTTGGGGATTATTTAAAAATGAGGCATTTATTAATGTTCACCATCAAGCAATTAGTTAAGATGATGAATATTTTAACATATTCAAAATATTGTAATCTATTTTGTAGAGAAAACAAAATATGTTGTGGATTTCTTGCAAGTTCTGTTGGAGAACTTCTACTACAATGAATTAATATTTTTTGATGATATTCCATTCATCTAGAATGAATGGAATTACTTACCTACAATGAATTACTTATCTACAATGAATGGAATATCATTAATTTCAATGAATTAATATTTTTTCATATTCATTTTTAAGAAGAGTTTTTTCAATGCAAGTGTAAATTTGTGGGGTAATAAAACTACATAATTTTCATAATTATAACTATGAAAATGTAATTTTCAATCATATTTACAAATATTTAATTCACATATAAATGTGTTTTATATTTCTCTCCTGATTTAACCATTTCTATACATTGACTACATATTGTCTTGTGCTATTTTGTTGTACAGTGCTTAGTCAAAATAGAGAAGCATTTAGTACTGATCTCTTTTGAGCACAGTCAATTTTGAGGGTAAGTCTAGGTCTTGGCTTTTATTTTATGATGATTTTCAGATTTTAGAAAACCTGAATTATTTCTGAGAAAATCAGCTCCTCCATGTAGAGAGGTAAACTGAAAAGTTCCCCAGTGTCATACTTTCCTTTTGGTACTGGGAGTATGTTGTTATCTGGGGAACTGAAATAAAATGCAGTGACTTTTGTCCTATACTCACAAGTTTCCATCCAAAATCAAGACCACTGAGTAGTTGATAAAACATAATTCTTCTGGCTATTAATATCACCCTTGGTGATACGGAAGACCATTGTTAATAATTGTGTGTTTGTTTTATTACATTCCTTAGATACTGAGTGATTTATTGAATTCAATTCAAATGTTTAATGTCAACCTGCAGCTGCCCCCAAATTGTCCTTTTGGAAAACTATGCGAAAATGTTGAACTTCTATCCTTTTAGTACACCTTGAAAGAAAAATTCTTACAATGAGGCCATAGCATTACAGTTTTTACCATGTTGACCCAATTAGAGTTATTGTCTAAGTTCCAAATAATTACAATTTTAACTAGCCAGAGGTAATAGGACAGAGAACTCTGGATGTCCAATATTAGGAAGGGAGTTAATTTGCTGAAAAACAGTGCTTGCTTACATAGCCATAAGTCTGTGTGTGTGTGCATTATACAAAACAGGCTGTTAATTATACTTAGATTTTTAAACACTTTGTGATTTATTATTAATAGTGTTGAATATTTATGTTTGCTTTCCCAAAATTTAAAATTACTAAGGCCTCTCAAACTAATGGAGATATTAGTAGGAATTCGTACTTTATTAGTGGCTTGAAAACTTTATAGCTGAGTTGGGGGTGGTTCATGAATAATTCAGATATCCCAATTGGTTACTTATCTTCCTTATATTAAAATGTTTATGCTTTGATGTTTAAAAATACCTTTTTATCTTTTGGAGTATGGAAGGGATCTTAAACAAAACTCTTCATTTTCTAGCTGAGGAAACCTAATGCCTAGAGGCAGGAACTCGGACGGGGGCTTGACAGTAGGGAGTTAAGGACAGAAATGAGTCAGAACCTGAGTACTGTGTCTCCAGTTCAGTCTCATTTCACTGTAACAAAAGCAGATTCTGTGGGCATTGATAAAATGTCTTTTTAAGGAAGACAAAAGAGTCCTTGAACTTTTATTTTTTAATGAGAAAATATTTATACGGGCATTGTGTTGTGGGGGGCAGAGAAAAGGAGTTGGTTAAAGAGTACAGAAAGGATGAGATAAAGGTATATGTGATCTTAGCATGTATGTTAGGAATCATCTGTGACAAGACTGCTAGGGACTGAACTAATTAGGGAAGGTTCAACACAGCAAATTCGGTTTCTATTTTAAGGAGAAAAAAAAAAAATCTATCTGGGGTGTGTGCCTTTCCTTACAGTTAGCCGTGATTAGGGAAAGTCATAGCTTGGAGAACCCTTGGAGATGAAATGTGGAGAACCCTTGGAGCTGAAATGTGGTTTTCCTCAAGGGAAGAGCACCAGCTGCACCACAATTTTAGCAACTGTCCCCAGTCTCCCACCCCTCACAGACGCACTCACTGATTCCCAGAGAAAGACTGATGATGAAA